CCAATGGGCTCTGACAGCAGGAGAAACCCAGGGAAGAAGGGCTGGAAAGGCCCCGAGAAGGAGCTGCACGTTCCCTACATCTCCCCCACAGCCAGGTTTTGCTGCTTTTTGAACACCGGTCACAGATTGCCTCTGACCAGCGCTGGCGATGCCACCCAGCGCTGCAGGTCCCACACGAGCCTACACAGGGGAGGTGCCCAGGGCTTCCCAGTCGCTGAAGGCGGCTCTGACTGGTGGCAAAGAAAAATAATTGTTATAAAAAACGCAAAACCTCTTTCTGGAAGAGAAAAGAGGTGTTAGGCTTCACCGGCCTGTGATTTTTAGAGCGTGCCCCTGGAAAAAGACCTGAGGGTAGTGAACAGGCCAGCTCAGATCAGCTGAGAAAAATCAGTGCTTGTGAAAAGTGTCCAAGGGGCAGGGCGTATTTGGGAGCCGAGGGACAGTAACCACGAAAAAGTGGATCTGAACCCAAGGCTTCTGGCGGAATAAAGGGCTCAGCAGCGCAAGGAGCAGGGGAAAGGCAGAGCTTCAGAGTAGGGCTGGCGCCCGCGCCAAGCTCTGCTAATAGCACTCATTTAACACCTCTCCCACAACACAAGTGACACTAATCTCTCTGCAGGAACGAAGAGGGGGAAAAAAGGCATGAAAGCGGAGCCCCTATCAGGACGGGACTGTGACGTTTCACCATCCCCGACCTGCCGGTGACAGCTGGGGGCTGGCAATTTTCAGCCCTTGAGCATCAGTCTTTCCCCATCAGATGCCAGCTCCAGCCACTTTAGCAGCAGGCACCGGGGAAGCCTGGCTCCTGCTGTCAGTAGATAACTGCCATAAAGAGGCAAATAAAGAAAGAAACCACTAATTGGATTCACAGGTCTCTCTCACTATCCTGAAAGACAGCAGCAGGGGAACGACATTAGCTCCTCATCAGAGCCCCCAGCATCGCGCCCAGGGTGCAAGAAAACATTTCCCAAACTTGTTCGTATTTCTGAACAAACCTTGTTCTTTGACAGCTTTTCCCCGCAGGTTAGAAGCCCCAGAGGACCCAGGACGCCTGCGCACCGCACAGACGCAGCCCCTGCATCGGCAGGTCTTCGCGCCAAAGAGCACCATGCGCTCCCCCAGCTCTCGGGGCCCTGCACACCGGCACCGCGCAACCGCCCGGGGAACAGCCTTCCGCCACCGTGCAACCGCCCGGAAACCCCTGCCGCCTCCTGGGCGCTTTGAACAACCCCTTCGGCTGCGCGTTGGTAACCGAGGAAGACTGCAGCGCACGCGCCAGCGGAAACGCAGCGTAACAGTGAAAGGATCATCTCCTTCAGAAACGAGAGTAAAAAAGCAACCCTCGGGCCGGCTCAGGGCAGCCCTGTTTCCAGCCCTTCCGCACCGCAGACTCCGACAAGGGATGCTCCGCAGCCACCACCGAGCTGCCCCCGTAACTGCAGGTCCTTGCCACCGTGTCTGCGGGGAAGATGGAGCTGGCAGCTCCGATCGCTGCCGCGCGCCCCGCCTGTGCCTTCCTGGCGCTCCGAGGTTATCGGGGAAGCGAATGGGGGTCGTACATCAAACGCCTCCTGGGCGGGAGGGAAGATCTCCAGGGAGACGCACAGAAGCAGCATCCTTGCTCCTCCCGGGGTGCTTTGGTTTTTTAATTGCTAATGCAACGTTTCTAGACAACACGCCGGTCCTTCCAGGCAGCACAACGCGCAGGTGGGAGGGCAGGGGGACGGCACACGACACGGCCACACAACAAGCCCAGGAGTCACAGTCAAAAATCAGAACCAAAACATCCCGTTTCTTGCTTATTCTCTCTCCCTCCAGCCCCCTCCTCTAGACCCAGCTTTTCTGCTCAAAACAAAGCAGATGAGATGGCAGCTGTCTGTGCACATCTAACAGCGGTGGGGACAGCGCGGAGGAGCTGCTGGCACACTTTTCCTCTGCAAATGGGTCCGTTCCCTTCATCCCAGGACAAAGGCAGGCGCTTTCCAATCCAGACCAGCTCAGTTCCCCTCCTCCCACCCGGAGCTGTCACAACAGATCAGGAAGCCCAGCAGTGCGAGGTACCTCTTCTTGTTTGGACTTGAATACAGTCCTGTTATGAGCTCCCTTCCCCTGTTGACCATAATTAAAAGGTCACGTCTCAAAAATTAACTTCCTGGAGCTAGAACAGCTGAGAGAATTGCCCCAAAAAGCCTGCCAGGCAGAAGATCTCATTCAGGTGTCTGGGAGGGGCAGCACAGTTAGTGCTCTGGGTCCTAATCCTGCACTGTCACTCAATCACCGCATGTTCTTGGTCCAAGTAATCTCTCCTGAGTCGCAGTCTCACCTCCGATGCGCTGAGGACTTCCCAGTTTGCAGGGTAAGGGAATCACAGACGTCGAGTGCTCAAAGGGGCAACCACCATCTCACTGAAGCACAACTGGGAGGGAACCGAAGCCAGAACTGAACCGTTAGGAGGGATCCATCAAGCTATTCCAGGACACAGAAACGTCTTGGTAGCCAAGGGAGGTGTCCCTGCTTCAACACCTGCCTCTGAGGACAGTGCGGATAAACCTCAAAGCAAGCTGCAGTGAAGCCACCTTGATTCAAGGGCACAATTACAGTAACTACTGCTGCCAGCACCTTTAACCTTACGTAGTCTAAAGCCAAGTAAAAGCACCGAAGAAAATCTCAGGACTATGGATTCTCACAGTGTGGAGATCTGGACACAGAGAGCTCAAGAAAGGCACGCAGGTTAGCTTTAGAAACACCCCAGTACCTCCCATCTGAAGCTCAGCTGAGCTGAGGAACTCTCCGCAAGAAAGGGAGAGGTACCGGGGACACTACAGAGGCTGAGGAGACTATTACTGCTCCCCCTTTCACCAGGATGGGTGCACAGCTTTCCAAAAGATGACACCCAACACGGGCTGTTTGGGAGCTCTGGGATTACAGCAGACCTTACGCTTGCATTACCTCGTGGAGGGTCCTGGCACAGCTCGAGCTGAGCCAGACAGCAGCACCCCTGCCAGCGAGAGGCTGCTCAGCCGTTCCCATAGGCAGGACAGCAGAGGCACCTGGCTCACCCTTGCCAGATTCTCCCGTCAAGACTGCAGAAAGCTTCGTTGAGTATTTATTTACCCCGATGATGTAAGCTCTCTCCTAAGGGATCCAACCTGGATCACCCAGGGAGTCTACACCAGAACAGCGAATTGAACGGAGACAACACAAACTGGAGGTGGGCCACAGCCTGAGACCATCCTTCCCCACATCCAGTGGCTGCCCACCTGTGGCTCGTGGATCACACGCCATCCACCAACTAGGGCCTTGGTTGCAACTCACAGCTGCAGGAAATTAAAGCATTAAAACAGAGCTTGAGTGGAAGAGGCACGCAGACTAGAACGCTGCCATTAGACCAAAGCGGGAGACAGAAGGCCCCAAACTAAACTTGAGGGTGCCTTAAAACAGGAGGCAGAAAGAAAGAACATGCAAAACCAGAGCTTCTTAAACCATCAAGGGGGGAAAACAGAAAGCAGAGCCTAGCCCTGTTCTGCCTAATTTCAGGCTATCGCCTCCAAGAGCAATGAGGCCTCTCCCTAAAAATACACACTGCCCTAAAAATACACAGTGCAAGCTTAAATTAACTGAACTGCACACACCCTTAGCACAGCACTGCAGCTGGAGCTTGTTGAACCCCAGCATGGCTGGATCTGCAGGGCAGGGAGGTTCAGAAGGTCTCCATCAGCCTCTTTGCTCGTGCCCTACACTTCAGTCAGGATTTCAGCTGTTTTTCCCCTTCACAGCCAGGTTACTGTGCCTTCTCCAGAGGCATTTCCACTGGCAGAGACATGTCCTCACCTCAATAATCCACGAGGGATTCTATTCATTTGTAAAGATCAATTCATACACGTTCTCGTTTGCTACATCAGATACTGTTCGTTGCACAAATATACCCTCATATCCATGAAAGAGGGGGGGATCCCTATTGCATCCGGCATTGCACAAAGCAAAAGGCGGTCTCCATCTGAAAGCACTCCTCATTTCAAGAGGCAAAAGACAAAGGGAGGACAACAGCAGGGAAACTGAGGGCTGCAAAACCTGATGGTGATACACAGAAGATGCTAGATATTCAAATCTCACCCTAAGTGGCTTGGTCTGTGGTTGCAAAGGATAAAAATCAGTGATAGTAAAACCCCAAGGAGCAGTTTCCCACATCCTGGCTGTACAGCTAAGGCACTGAACTACCTCCTCTCTCAGACCATAGCTTCTTTTCTCATCCTACCGGTTCTGCACAGTGCATACACTAGAGCACAGGAGAGAGGAGCCTCAAGCCCACGGCTTTCTGCTTTGATCCTGTATCAGACAGAGGTTCTCAGGAGAGCAACACATGGGCACGCACGCACCAAGTCCTCTCCTTTGCATTTCCCAGCAAGGGCCTGAGTCAAAGTACACTGAAATACCAGCAAATAATTTTCTTTCCCTTTCCTGAGCGCTGAACTGGGACCAGCAAGCCCAAACAGGAGACTATGCTGTAACCACACTCGTTACAGCCAGGGAGACACAAACAGAATGAAACCACCATCTGCTATTACTGCTGGTGACTCATCTGGCCTCCTGACTGAGGCACTTTTTGGTTGGGATTTTGTCCTCAATCACTGTTGATGAGTGGGGAATCAAAGCTTATTTCAGCAAGAGGAACGCAGGGCTAAAATCAAGAGAGAAAACAGTGACGAGTTCTCCCCCACCCCACTACACAGGTATTATCTCTGCTCCTCACTGTATCATTTTTCCTCAAATACACACACAAAGAAAGCATAAGACTTGCTCGAAATAATAAGAAGGATGGAAAAGGAAGGCCAAAAGCTAAAATTAGAACAAAAAGGAAAAGTCTGTGCTGAAGCTCTAGGTACCTGTCTCCATGGAAAGCTACCTCCCACCAAAACGCACCCCTGCTTCAGCCACCTCCAGCTTAGCTGTCAAAAGAGATATGGGGCTGGGGGAAGCTTCAAAGGGGAGCAGGCACTCACGGTGTAGGCTGAGGGAGATGTTGATGGAGCGCTCTTCCACAAAGCCCTTGAGGTTGGGGATCTTGGCACACTTGAGGATGGTCTGGGAGGCACTGTCACCCACGTGAACCCAGCACACTGTGTCTTCAATGTAGTTGAAGTCCATGGCCGTGGTCTGCTTGGCACTGGTGGGGGTGATGTTGGGCACAGGGGCTCCGCTCAGGTAGGTGGCCAGGATGTTCTGAGAGTTGGCAATGAGCAGCACAGGAGGGCGATCCACCGGCTCTGAGAGGGAAAGGAGGGGAAGAAGGTGGTCATGACAGAGGAGCTAAAGCGCATGGCTGCAACGCCTCATCAGCCTACAGCCTGGCCCTTGTGCTCTTGCAAAAACAAAACGGTGATATGCAGCCCAACACGCACAAAAGAACATGGTAGCACAGGACAGTACTCAGGAGACTGCCTTAAAATGAAGAGCTGGGAGGTAGGGATACAGAGATGGCAGGAGGCCACAGTTTCTAGAGCTGCCCAAAAGCAACACTTCAGTAGTCAAAGAACTTACCATTCTTGGCTTTGCAGGATCTGTTATCAGGCTGCAAGAGGTACCCTTCAACACAGCTGCACGTGTAGGAACCCTCTGTGTTGGTGCACGTCTGGCTGCAGGTCCCATAGACTGTGCATTCATCAAAGTCTGGAGAAGAAGGCAAGAAAACGAGACTTGGACCAGCAAGCACCTCTCTCCTTAACCAACTTGTGAGAGAATAAAGACTACCCCCGTTTCCAGGGCAGGCCTGCAAGGAAAGAAGAGTTCTCCAGACACGTTCAAAGACCCTCAGAAGCCATGAGCCATGGTGACAGCACCATGACCTCCAGCAGAACACCTGGAGAACATCACCTCACAACACCGGCAGGCAGCCCTCAACTCTCTGCTCAAGCATCAACAGAAAGGAAGAAAAAGGAAAATACCTTCTTCACAGCTGAGCCATTTCAAGGCCTAATTGTTCACTGCCCCTTCCCCCACTCTGGAAAACCTGCACCTAAATTTCTAGTCTGAATTTCTCTAATCTTCAGCTTCCAAACCTCTGGCTTACATGCTGCTCTTTCTTCTACTAGATGAAAGAGCTGCTTCCATCAGAAAGCTCTTACCCCCAGAGGTGCATGTAAGAGCTGATAAAGTCCCCTCTCACCTCTCCTCGGAAAAATGAAAGAGACTGAGCTTCTTAAATCTCTCTCTTCAAGGCCTGTTTCAAGACACTGCACTGATCCGATCACTCATTTCTGACCTCTCGCCTATTTTCCAGTGTCCTTTTTGCAGCAGGAGTATGCACAAGCCCAGCGATGGCCCCTTTGCCACTGTACGCAAAGACAAAGCCACCTCCTTACTCCTTCCCAATATTTCTCACTCAGGCTTTCAAGGACTGCACTCACCTAACGGCACCACAGCTCAAGGGAACCAGAGTCCTATCCCCTGCCAACCCCTAGTATTCACCTCTGCAGAGCAAAAGCCCCAAATTCCTCTGGCCACATTGCCAAGCCCCCACCATCGCTGCTGAAACAGCGGCATTGGCCGTGGCACCTTGCCAGCTGCAACGCATTTCCCCTCACCCCTGGACCAACCTTTGCAGCTCTTCCTGTCCTCCGCCAGCTGGAAGGAGTTGTTGCAGTAGCAGGCTGGTCCACTCAGCGTCGGCACGCAGTGGTGCTGGCAGGCCAGGGCCGTGCAGTTTGCTAATTGCTCTGCAGAGATGGGATGAAGGGAGACACAACGTCACTGGTGTGCAAGCAGATAGAGCTATCCAGGGGTAGAGACAGCTGTGTACGGTGACGCTGGGCGAGGGTAACCCACCCTGCCAGGCTCTGCTGGGGCTCTCTGAGCTGCTCTGCCCCCACGCTGCCCTCGCTCTCGGACAGGCTGGGGAGGAATTCCCATTCGTGGCTTGGGAGAGATCTTCAATAGAGGGAGGGGATGGGGAGGCTGTAATAAATATGCCATTGCTCCCCAAAGGAGATGGGATCAGAATAGTCCCAAGCTGCTCTCCAAAGCTACTGATTTTCTACCGTTTCCCTACGGGAGCTTGTTGCACGCCAGAGTCAACTGAAGTCCCAGCCCTCCTCACGCAGGAGGGCAGCATGGACCAGGCTCTGGACTGGAAGCTCTGGTGCATCTCAGGAGCAGACACGACATCCCAGAGAGACCAGGGACGCTCTGGGCTGCGCTCAGCTGCCGCGCGTCCTCCTTGCAGCAACTCCCCTCCAACCGCACCTGCGGAGACCTCGGCTGCCGGGGCTCCGTTCCCCAGCGGAGAGGAGGACTCAGGTACTAGAGATCCCCAAGCTCTTTAAATTGTTTTTGTCCCCACTCCAAAAGGCAGCACCACCTCCAAATGCCAAGGTCAGGAGGCCCACAGGCCCATGCTTGAAGGTGAGACGCGGCCACCTGGCTCACAGCTTCCCGCGGTTTAATTTCCATTAGCGGCTGCAATAAGCTCCAGGAGAGCTTCCATCTGCCCGGCGCTGCAATGCACGGAGGCAGCCTGGGGCTGCCGGGCAGCCTCGGCAGGCAGCGTTTGCCCTGCTC